TTTCGAGTTGTTTCCAACAATCTCCGGCTTCTGCCCACTTCGTGTGGTCGCGCACTTCACAGTATAACTTCCGGGTTAAAAAAAAAACAACTTCCGTTGCAGCCGTTGTGTTGTGTTGCGGCTAATTGTGTTGTGTTTTGGCTTTTGTTTTGTTGTGACACTTCTGGGATACCGTAGATATCCAACATTTTTTCATTTTTCCAAGTACCTACAGGTGTAATCACTGCTGACGGCTCCACATAGAGAACATCCTTTACTCCTTACATTTTGATTTATTTTCCCCACATATTTGTCTCCCATCTTGGTGTGCGTAAAGACAGCCTGCAGTTTAGTCAATTGTTGTTATATTAATATGGGTCACAGCTGAGTCACTAATGGCTTTTTGGTTGTGGTAAAAAGTTTTTTTTGTTTTTTTGTTGTTGTTACAGAGTCTGGTTAGTGTAAATGGTTAATTTCAGTCCTCAAAAGGCCTTTCAGAGGTGCTACAGTGAGTCTACCAATGCTGTGCCTCCTGATGCTAGCTGGGATCATCATCCTGTCTACACGCTGTAAGATAGCGTCCATCACTAGCAACAAAACTAGTTCACACGGTAAACTGTGCTCACAACTGGACTACTGAATGTTTGTGGACACACTGATCAGATTTTTCAGTTACAAAATAATCATTATTCATCCCATTTAAGTACAATTCCAGTGCACAACAACAGTGCCGTATCATTCGATGACATGGGAGTGAATGGTTTTCTATAGGCCCTGGAGCCACTGTAGACCTCTACCTAACATGTTTTGCTCTCACACAGCCCCACATCATCCCACTTCCACCTCCATGCTTCACTGTCAGGACTATGCATTCACTGTGGCAGTCCTGAACCCAATCTGAGCAGAGCAGATTCATCTTTGTCTTCTCTGACCAAAGAATGTGCCACCAGTGATCATCAGGCTTCGATCCCCGCCCACAGTCGAAGTCTCCTTGGGCAAGACACTGAACCCAAAGTTGCTCCCAATGGCAGGCAGCACCTTGCATGGCAGCTCTGTCGCCATTGGTGTGTGAATGTTTGTGTGAATGGGTGAATGAGGAAACATTGTAAAGCCCTTTGAGTGCCGCTAAGGTAGAAAAGCGCTATGTAACTGCAGTCCATTTAGCATTTTCAGGTTCTTTAGCAAAGTGTCGTTTTGCCGCTTTGTGCAGAAGACGGGCAAACACTTTTCTTTTGTCCATAGAGCTTGACGGTATGCAATGTCTTTTACACTGTCCGACCTGCCACCGAATCACTGATTTGCTCTGATAAACCCCTGTGCCAAGTCTGAAGCACTTGCCCACCTGTTTTCTAGATCTACAGTGAACACGTGAAGCACTATTCATTATGTTCTTGTCTATGTGAAGCCATGATGCAGACATGCATATAGACTCAACTCATGGGTCCAAAAATGTAGAAAGTTCTCAAGCTAATTTCACAACCATGTTCATGCCGTTAGGCTGATTCAAAGGTGTAATAATTTACTGTTCAACTTAAAAATAACACAAATGTTGAAGGTGAATTTGTATGATTTGACATTTAACTTGTGTATTGTATACTGCATTCTCTAATGTTGAGCTGCTTTTGGTCGAGTCACACTTTAATATTTCAGTTAGAAAGTTGCGACGCCTCCACACGCATGATTTTAAAGATTAGCAGCTACAACAAATAATTCATCAACCCCCAAAACAGCTACAGTAACTGTGACCTACAGGAACTTGTCACTGTTAGTTAAAGCACAATGATTCTGTGTTGCTTGTCTTTTTCAAAGTTTTTTGTTGTTGTTGTTTTTAAATATATATATTTTAGTGACTTTGGAAATCAAACAGCTGCAGACCAAATGCAATGAACTGAGCAGCAATTACAGTGAACTCCAGGTCAAACTTTCAGGTAAGAAAAGTTTTAAAATTAAAAAAGAAAAAAAAAAAGGCAAACGCCTGATTCCAACTTCATGCTGTACACCTAACTATGATGATACTGTTGTTGTTGTTCTCAAGACATGGCAACCAATAGAAGAGCAGCTATGAAATACTGAGTAGAAGAACAAGGATAAAGAGTGAGATTGAAAGTGAGAAGAGTTTTGTGGAAGGAAAACCTTTACTTTTAGTTATGACTGTTTGATGCTATCCATTTTCTGTATGAATATTTCTGTTGGGGACAGTCACTGATGAATGATAGAAAGAACAGGGCGAACAATAGAGAGAACAGCCAGCTAGGATAGAATATTGAAACTACAGGTTTTATTGGTTTTTAATGAATGATATGAAATCTGCCATCAAAACGGAAGAGATGTCCTGAAGGATGGAAGAGATGTAGATGGAGCTGCTACTTTAAATTCACCGAGAAGAAAATTTGGGAACAAGGTAGAAAAGCTTGTCAGGAGGAAGGAGCTGATCTGGTCATCATAACCGATGAAGAGGAGCAGGTGGGTGTTTGGATTGTCTGTGTGTCTGTATTGAGCCTGATGGATCTCTTTTCCTTGTCCAATGATTTTCAGATCCTATTTGAATGTACGTTTTTGACTCGTACTCTTTTGATTGCAAATGCAGACTTGGAGAAACACTGAGAGGTAAAACCACAAGGACTGACCTCAGTTCTTCCATGTAACTCTGTTTTTGTTGTTTAAAAAACTAAGATCAGAAATGGGTTAATTCTTGACTAATTTTTGAGAACTGAGCTTTCTGCATGAACTGAACCTGAGAGATAAATCATTTGTAGAAAAAAAAGAAATGCAATGGAAATGTTGACTTTCTTTCTTCCTTTGGACTGCATGTGGAGCTGATATTCTTCATCTGTTTCTGATTCATATGCTGTGGAAGAACTCAATCTTTTCGGTCACTGTCACAAAATAACTTTACTACAACAGAAAAACTGCACTACAAATGCCCACTAGAAATTTGTCATTGAATTGAATATGAGTGGAGAGTCTTGGATCGGTCTACAGCGCACATCAAAAAAAGAGACAGCGTGAAAACAGCTTTGGAAATGGGTCGACAGATTACTTCTGACAGAATCGTGAGACATTTTAAATGTTTTTGTTTGTGTTATGGTGTCATCAAATTATTGGTTGCCATTAAAACGTGTCTACATTTTGACTGAAACATATTTTCTGGCAGACTACATTTTTTGTGACACATCATGAAGACATTTCTAATCAACATAATATTGTCACTAATTTGATTACTATCTCACTTTTTCAGCCA